AATTTTAATAATTATTTTTAAAATTTAATTTTAATAATTATTTTTAAAAATTAATTTTAATAATTATTTTTAAAAATTAATTTTAATAATTATTTTTAAAAATTAATTTTAATAATTATTTTTAAAAATTAATTTTAATAATTAATAAATCTCACTTTCACAACAAATAAATTCATACTACTTGAAACTAAATTATATTACAAACAAATACTACATTTTCAAATAAATTCATTTTACTAAATTATAATTTAATTACTTTTTACAAATTATTTTTAATTTTTTACTTTTAATAAACACTTTTACAATTAAATATAACATTAACAAATATAATTTTATATTACTTTAATACCTAGGGACATTTTAGTAATCTTCAATTTATACAAATTAAACAAATTTTTTAAAACTGTCAGATCAATCAAATCCTACACTAATTCTCACAAACTTTACCTCTAAATTCACTTTCAATTACCTCCAAATCCACTCAAATAAACAAAAAATTACCCTCAAATCCACTCAATCACTTTCTCCCAAAAAATCTCCCTCCATCACCCCAAGTAAACACACCCTAAACCACTTAAAGCAAATCATCAAATGGGCTCACCCAACCACATTTCATGTGAATTTAGCTTTCATTCACTACCACCTATAATTTTCTTTAGGGATGGAAGAAAAAAAAATGGTACATTCAAATATTATTATGTAAAATCTACAATGAATATTATAGAATATTTTGAATGAAAATATGTGGGTAGTGATTATTGATATTTAATTAATAGAATGTATATAAATATTATGTATCTAATTTACGAATACTGTAAATAATTATTAAATTTTATTTAAATATTTTTTAAATAGAGCATGTGGAATCGATTCCATGAAACTAGTACTCTATTTCACGAACATGAAATCAGGGAAAAGCATAACCAATTCCATGACGACATAACCAATTAAGGAGATAAAGTAATTGATTCTAGCACGGTATAATCGATTTCATAATGGAATCGATTTCTTGAAAAATGGTGCTTTTATGGCATAGGGGAAGTTAGAACTGTTACATGGCACTTGAAAGGTAGTCTGCATTGTACAAGTGTATTATGAAGTAGTTTGGCTATTACATGAAAAATTTGAACTGAAAATATAAGACGATTTTGGAACCGATTTTGGTTGTAGAAGGAACCGAATCTACAACCCATTCTTTTATTTGATACGCTGAATATATGTTTTCTTCTAAGTTAAAATGGAAGTTTATAGTTAATTTTTGAAACATTCCCATTTGTAATAAAACGTTTTTTTCATTTCATCAACATCTTTTTTTAAAAATTAATTTAAACTAATCCAAAAGTCATTTTTATTAATAATAATATTATTTTATATACATATATAATAATATTAAAAATAATTTAATAATCTTTATTTTCTGTCATTTAAAAATATATAATTTTTTTAATTTATTATATTCCTCGTTAATTTTTATCAACTTTACTTATAAATTTATTCTTAATCTCTTCAAAATTTCTTGAAAAAAAATAGATATTTTATTCTCAAATCACCTCAAATATATCTATTTATTTTTCTTCAAATTTTCCACTTGAACATAATCTTAAAATTAATTTTATATTTTAAATAATTTGTTTAAAATAATTTATAAAAATATTCATGAAAAAATGAATTGATATTTTATTATGAATGTCCAACTAACATAAGATAAATTGTTTTAAACCGAACAAATAGTAAATAAGAAAATTCTTTAAATAAAGAGGAGAAGTAAACAAATTCTTATTCATATTTATTACATACATTATTTTTGTTGTTTGTCTCTTAATGGCATGCTAATGATATTAACGAGAGAAAGTGGTATAATAGCAATTATTAATGGGGTAATTGCATGGGGATCTGTTTCATTCTCGGGATTGCATTAATCTTTTTGTATTAGTATGTTGAATTTGTAAGCATAGAAATTATGAATGTTAGGAAGATGTTGACGTTGACCAGGCATCGCCATGTTCATCATTCACGCCAGATAGTTTTAAAACAAAGAGATTTTATAAAAGGGAAAATCTTCAGCGTTATTTAGGAACAAACAGATTTCAAGAACGTCTCTTGCTCATGAGTTTCTATTCGATAAAATTATATCGGCATAAATATTTTTTTCCCTTGAAATATTACAAAAAAATTAGAAATAATTAGGACTGTTGACCATAAGGAGACAAATGTCGGTTACGTGTATAATTTTTATTTTTAGTAAAAAATTATTTATTTTTTTAAAAAACGTAACTCAGCTCTAATTTCTTCTTCCCCAATCTAATTTTCTTCACTAGACCCATACCTTCATTTATCCATCTCCACTTTCTACTCTTCAACGACGGCACCACACAGGAGGAAGTTTATTCTACCAACAGCGATGTCGAAAGCCGCCGCGCGACTCCCCTAGGCCGCTGTCGCACCCAGTTCACAAGCTCCGTCGCACGCCACCTCCGCGGCTCCCCTAGGTCGCCGTTCCCTGCCACCACCGCCGTTTTTATTTCCGGCGAGAATCCTGGAATCGCGACGAACTTCACTGGTGCAATGCTCTGTTTTGATTTTGGGGTTGAATGAATGTGATTCTCTCCGGCAAAGTGGCACCAGTTCCAGGGTTTGTGAGAAGAAGAATGAAGAAAGAGGGCAAAGCAGATGGTGGAGGGTCTGGAGCGTTGATGCATGAAGGGGGGTGTAAGGGTGTTTCTGAAAAATGATGATGGAGGTCAAATGTGGGTGCTGAATACACACTCTCTGTTCTGAGGCTGCTACAAACTCTGCCTTTGTTTATGACTCAAATGTTGAAACTTGGAAACGGTTTGACTCGGCGACAATCTTCACCAAAAAGGTGTTTTTTTTGAAAGGGGGTTTGTATTTTTCAACTCCGGGACCGTTTTCTGTGGTGATATTTGATTGGGGGAGTGGAAGGTGGGAAAAACCCGTTGGGGGTTGGTTACCGTTTTTATTTTCAACGCTCTGTTTCGATTGGTGAGTGAAAGACAGGGTAAATTGTATTTGGTTGGTGGGGTTGGGAACAACGGAATCTCGAGGAGCATCAAGTTGTCGGAATTGGGTGGAAGTGCTAAGTTTGCCTGATCTTATGTGCAAGAAGTGTGTCTGTGTTACCATAACTATCACCATGTTTATTGCTTCATTTGCTGCTACACTTGGTCAGAGATCTTTTATTACTTGGTTTAAAGGAGAACTTGGCATTGATGGGACATGATGATCTTGTGTCTGTTCCTCTTCATCGGAGTTTACGAGATGTTATTAACTTGGTATGTTAGGTTTTGATGGAAGTTGAATACAAATTAATTAATACTATTAAATGTTTCATTTCATTTGCGAATACAGAGCATGTATCCCTTTTATTTCCTTTATGTATATTACTTGAAAAAAATATCTCATTTCTTAAGTCAATTATAATTTAAACTTGAAAGCGAACTTAAAGAATGTTACAGACATTGTTTCTAACTCTTAATTAAGTTTCTTACTTCTTATTGTGATTTGGTAAAAAAATGTATCCTTTCGTATTTTATCTCTCTGTACTGAAAGAAATGCCTTATCTTTCAGATTTTATTAACAGAACCATCTGAGAAGAGGTGACTGTGTCTCCTAATTAAAAAATTAATAATATAAAACAACGAGTGTACATGACTAGATTTATACGTATAGCTTTTTCTTTCTCGTAGACTTTCATGCTCGACTCATAAGAAACTGATGACGCTAATCACAATCTTTAATTTGGCATCTTTTCTGTCCACTAAGTTTATTTCGAATATAAAGTTTTCGGCCTCATCATACCTTTTTTCTTTCCTCTTCCTTAATCTTCGCTGTTTTCTCCAGATGGACGCTAAAATTCGTATATTTGTTATATCTTGTAAAATATCAAAGTAATTATTTTATTAACTATCATATATAATTATTATTATTTTATTAGTATTATATATTTTTTTATCACATAAATGATTGCATCCAAAATTTTTATAAATACATATAGTATTTTACATAAAATCATACATTCTATTATACTTTTTCTTATATTACTGATATTAAAGTTCTTTTGAGTGGGAAAGTTTTTTTGCAATTGAATCTTTCCTTATTTTTAGTATATCCACGCTTATGATCGATCTTGTCACTCTGCATTTCTTCTCCGCATATTTCTGTTTGTTTTTTCTTCAATTGTCTGCAGTTCAAATCATAATCCTTCTTTTCTTTAAAAGTTTCAATAAATTTCAATCCATTTAATCTTTGTTCACGCTCTTTTGAACTTTTTAAGTTTCTGCACTGACATGCTTATGACTTTACCATTACTTTGCATTTTTTTTTCATCTGTTTTCATTGATATGATTAGATTGATAAATTACTCTCTAAAGAATAAATCAAATAAATGGTTTTAGATATATTTATTGTGCAAGATCATGAGTTCTGGTACTAATGTAATTCAAATTTCTGATAACCAAATTGAAATTAGTAATCGGTTATTGGTTGTTAGTTGATGCCCTTCATTCCAAATCTTAAGAAAATTTCGACCTAAGTTCCCAAACATCTGTTTAAAATCAAAAGGTGAAGAATATTGCAGTGATTCTTTGAATAGAAAACAATACAGTGTTCAAATTAATAGAAAAATCTCGTTGAAATTCACTATCAACGAACTATAATATTGAATAACTGACCGGTTTTTTATCTACTGTACATAAAAGCAACTTCAACCGTCGTTGTGATTATAATGCCACTAAACAAAGCCTCATTTCTTTCATTGACCCACAACAAAAATGTGAGAGCACCATGCTATGGATCTAAAACATGAGCTTCACTATCATGCGAGAAAATGACCTAACTTGGGCAATACTTTTGCAGTTATAAACAATGATACTAGATACTACTGGAAATTATACACAAGTGGAGTGTTATCATTGGCAAAACTCCTAATTGCCTGATAGATATATATCTCCTTGAGTTCATAGAACACGAGACTTACAAGACCAACTAGAAGGGATGCAACTACGATTTGTTTCTTCCCTAAAAACTTTCACAGGAAGTAAGATAATTGCTCTCGCTTCCTTGAACCTCCTTCCCCATACATTTCATTCCACTGCTTTAACTCACTCATTCCAGCCCCCTCAGCTGCGTAGCTTGCGGAAACCTGTGTTCCAAGATGATGGTCAAATGAAGCAATCTTATCATGTCGCTACATTCATTCAAATAAGCAACGAAGCCAGGCATATGTGGCAACGAAGCCAGGCATATGTGGCAACGAAGCCAGGCATATGTGACAACGAAATTCAAGGTATATGATGATAAAAGTGGATTGAATAAGCAAAAGAATCCTATATGGTAACAGAGAGTCTTACCTGACTCCTAGCCTCTTTGAAGTCTTGCATGTTCAAAGGTCTAAGGGAAATTACTCTTTCCTGTTTAACTTCCTCTTTTGCTTCCAAAGCATCTTGGATATTTCCCACTGTAGATTGATTTCCCGGTACTTCTTGGACATTGTTATTCTGTTCTTCAACACCTTTCTGCCTTTTCTCCTGCAGGAAACAAATGTGAAATTGGCATGATAATCATATAAGGGCACGATTTTGCAGAGGCCTTACAAAGATATTGCCTAGTTACCAGCATTTTTAGTCTCTCTTGTTGAATTAACTCTCTAACAGGTCTGTAAGCAGCAGTTGTACACAAGTTCTACATTTAACAATTAGTGGGAGTGAAAAATGTGTTAGGCAGCTTTGAGCATCAAAAGCTAAAAGTAGTAAAAGCATTTTCAGGTTGTAGCACGATAGTCACATATTTAGTGAAATAGTTAGAAAATTGCATAAACCTTGAGATCACTTCCGCTGTATCCTTCTGTCATAGTTGCGAGTTCCTTAAAATCAAATTTCTTGTCCACCTTTTCTCTTCGCAAAAGAGTCCTCAAAATTTTTTCCCGGTTCTCCAAGCTTGGCATCCCCACCATTATTCTATTAACAAAAGATAGGCGTTACAGTAATTACAAATGATAAAGTATTACTGAATTTCAAAGTATTCAGATTGTCACAAACACACACACACATATATATATATATATATATATATCTACTGAATTTCAAAGTAGACATACCTCCTTTCAAATCTCCTAATTATTGCTTCATCCAGGTCAAACGGCCTATTGGTCGCAGCAAGAACAAGGATACGCTCTGCTGGATTTGTCATTAGTCCATCCCAAAGTGTCATAAACTCATTCTTTATTTTCCGCATGGCTTCATGCTCTCCGACTCTGGTACGTTGCCCCAGCATACTATCAACCTCATCAACAAATATAATAGTTGGGGAGACCTTGGCTGCCAGAGTGAACAAAGCTCGAACATTCTTCTCATCTTCACCAAACCATTTAGAGGTGACGGTGGACATGGATACATTAATGAAACTTGCTCCAGCTTCGTTTGCAATGGCCTTTGCCAGCATTGTCTTCCCTGTGCCAGGAGGTCCAAAAAGCAATATTCCTTTACAAGGCTTTAGAAGGCCTCCGCGGAAAAGGTCTGGCCTTCGAAGAGGAAGCATAACTAGTTCTTGAAGCGATTCTTTGGTCTCATCTAAGGCACCAACATCAGAGAATTTTACACCAATTTCGTTTGCTGGTATTACCTCAGGCCTTATTCGCTTCTCAAACTCATTGTCAGGGGGAACTTCCTGCATGTGAATATATATCAATGGATGTTTAAAATTGAAGGTGGGTTTCAAATGATAATTTTCCTTTAAAATTATATAATTTACAGAAATAATAAAAACGGAGAGTCAACGCAACAGAATAGAAAAGATTCATAACCTAACTGCAATTACTACCTACCCTAGCGCTCCATTTTAACATTTGGAATTATGTTATAAAGGGAGAGGTTGCTATGCTTGTATGAACTACTTGTACGCGAGATTGTAACAATTATATTTTTTATTAAAACAAAGGAGGAGGCTTACAACTTTTGATGCAGGAAGTACATTTTCACCGTCAGTTGTTCCCACTGAAATTGATGTATCTGCTTCAGCCTTTATTTCAGGAGCAGGTTTTTCTGACGCTGTTTCTGGCTTCACAACAGCTTCTTCTCTCGGCTTTATGCAAATGACACAGAAAGAGGGGAAAAAATATGCCTATGTTAGTATTTGTTAGGCATTACTCACAATTTAATGCACATTCATGCCATGCAGAGCAAACCTCAGTCGTAACTGCCTGGGCTTCTAATTTTAATGTATCTCTTGTACTGAATTTCCCCTCCTGGAATATACCCCATGCATGGGACAAGCTGTTTCACAAACAATAAGTAAGCACATTAAAATTATATAGTATATGTAATTAAAGTTGCTACTCTGACCTGCTACAAGGAATAACTAGTTTGCCATTTCTGTATTCAGGATCTATGTTATTCATTAAATGATGGGAAATTGCTGACACGACGATCTCTTCTATATGGTCACTGAAAGCCATTGTATCTGCCACACAGATGGAACCCAGGTCATCACAATAAAGATCATTGGCTGCAAGCACTTCCATGATATGGTTCCTATTATCCTGAGTCTGTATCGTCTTCATGTTCTCTTCAAATTGAGACTTCCAGCTGACATGATAATATTCATCTTCTGGGGGACTGATTTCTATGTTGTAGGGGAAGACGGAAGAAAGTCTTTCATCCACTTCTTTGTAGTCACTTCCAGAATCCAAAACTCGTGAGCCAAGAATCAAAATTCGTCCATACAGTTTATTCAACATTTTCTGGAATAGGTTATATATCCGTTGTGATCTATATAATAACTTGTCAACATCCCGCAAATATAGAACAATAGGATAGGTTTTTGATACATAAACCAGAACCTGCAAGTGAAATTTTTACCTATGAAATCAATGGTCGTATAAAGCCTCATCAAATCCATAGATTAACCTTAAAGGTAATATATATATATATATATAAAAGAAAAAATAAATATTCTATTCTCACAACAATTTCCTACAATATTTTCTTACAACTCATTTTTTTTAATCTCTTCTCTATCTCGTCTCTCTGATTTCAGGCTTCGTCTCTTTTCTCTTCTTAACCCTCTTCTAACTGTAGAAAAAAGTAGTAGAATACACGGGCTGGAACATAATCTGTCATAAAAAGTAACATTACCTTATAAAGAGTTTGTACAAGAAGCTTTTCATCAAAAGGCAAGTTCGTTATGTTTTTCTGAGGGGCTGAAGCTAGATTGAGAGATAGAAGGAATCAGTAGAGAACATGATCAAGTGAAAATGGCAACAGTATGATTAAGAAGTATGACTTAAAATTTTCATTGTATTATGGCTAAGTTTAAATAAACTTCTTAGAAAGTACTTATCGGGAAAATAAGTAATGAATATAAAAGGTAAAATGTGTCAAACTTTTTTTATAAATTAAAATCAGCCCATATACTTTAATATGTTTAGAAGCTTACATATTTAAATTTCCCAATTATGAAAAAAAATACTTTATTTTACCTTCTTAATTCGTCCTCCTTTTTTCTACAAACATTTGTTGAAAAGTGTATCCAAACTGGCTCGAGTTTTCACAATATAGATGGATCTAACTATTGTACTAAGCCAGTCCTATAAATAAATTTTAACACAACATTATGTATGACATGGTATCTTTTTTTTTCCCTCAAATTCATTCTGCTGGCATTCGTAAATCAGGTTCTCTATACAAAACTATACTCCAGCGGATGGTACCAATTAATCATGTAAACCAATAGTTGTAACTAATGTATTTAAAGGTGTTCTTGAATCAACCTGAATTTGTAGTATTGCTTTGCAAAGCAAGGTTACTGATATTTGCAGAGGCAGACGCATTCCTACGAATCTTAGAAGGATTATACAATCTTTCAGATTCCCTGCAAAAAAAGTAACAGTTCAGATATAGGATAAATAAACTAACAGGGAATTATATATATCTTTCCGTGGTCAATTGATAAACATAAATTCTTCTTACGTTGACCGAAGGTCCACTCCACTGGGTTGCCTGTGGATTGTCCCTTCAAATAAAAGCTCTTGGTTAGAAATATAGTTTTTCTTAGTTTTTTAAACAAGTGCATCAGATGGAATACTGATGTCTAGAAGTAACCAGTATCTCTTAAACTTGACTAACACATGAAAAAACCTCAACCAAAACTACTTGTACCCTCTTCTAACTCATCTAAAGCTTGAAAAGTATCAAAGTTTAATTTTCTCCTCATAAAACGTTAAAAACTTATTCTTGAACCCAGAAAGGCTGAAAAATCGTGCATCGAAAACTAATCAAGCCTTTGGCTACTACATTAGAAAGTATCACTATGTTGAGCGTAACCAAATTGCAACACACCTCTCTACTCTCTCTTCATCTACACCAGAAGTAACAAGAAGTTAGACGTGTGTCCAAACACTCCAAAATTAAGTTCTCCACCCTAGATAAAAATATTTCCACCAGTTTATACCTTTAAGTTCTTCTTTTTGTGAAAAGATTGAAAATGATTCAAATAGGTCGGATATCCGCTCCAAAGTTGTCTCTGAGGTAGACCTTTTGAAAATCTAAATTCAGAAACAAAGGAAAATGAATTAAAGCCCAATTGCTATTTTTTTTTTTTAAAAAAACATGACATCTTCATCTATAATAGTTACAAGTAAAAGCAATAAAAGATAAAACTAGAACTTACCGATCGATTGTTGGCATAACCATATTTATTCTGAATCTGCACAGATGACAAACCAACCATTATGAGCATAATTATCTTTAGAAAGTATTAAATTACAGAAGGACTTCTCATTTTCACACCTTCAATGAAAAGTCAGTGAGATCTAACAGAAGCAACTTCGCCTCAAAGTAGTGGGCTAAAGCTTTGGCAAGCACTTGTTGATAAAGCTCTGTAAGACATTAAGGGAGAAAGTTTCAATTGACTTGACGGTGACAGTACAAACATCAAACGTATCAATCCATCATTAAGAAACAACATATTCCAACAAACCCGCTGGCCCTGAAAGCATGATAGTCCGGCTTGCAGGAGCAAGATTCCGTGTATGTCTGGAAACCTCCGCATTCTTCAAATGTACATAAGCAGCACTTGTTAGCGTTACCCTTGTCTGCTCCCTGTCATCACGTAAAGAATTGGAATGTAAATAAGAATACAAGAATACATACCAAAGTTCAGGACGAAGGTTTGTAATGAAAAGGAATACNTGAAAATGGCAACAGTATGATTAAGAAGTATGACTTAAAATTTTCATTGTATTATGGCTAAGTTTAAATAAACTTCTTAGAAAGTACTTATCGGGAAAATAAGTAATGAATATAAAAGGTAAAATGTGTCAAACTTTTTTTATAAATTAAAATCAGCCCATATACTTTAATATGTTTAGAAGCTTACATATTTAAATTTCCCAATTATGAAAAAAAATACTTTATTTTACCTTCTTAATTCGTCCTCCTTTTTTCTACAAACATTTGTTGAAAAGTGTATCCAAACTGGCTCGAGTTTTCACAATATAGATGGATCTAACTATTGTACTAAGCCAGTCCTATAAATAAATTTTAACACAACATTATGTATGACATGGTATCTTTTTTTTTCCCTCAAATTCATTCTGCTGGCATTCGTAAATCAGGTTCTCTATACAAAACTATACTCCAGCGGATGGTACCAATTAATCATGTAAACCAATAGTTGTAACTAATGTATTTAAAGGTGTTCTTGAATCAACCTGAATTTGTAGTATTGCTTTGCAAAGCAAGGTTACTGATATTTGCAGAGGCAGACGCATTCCTACGAATCTTAGAAGGATTATACAATCTTTCAGATTCCCTGCAAAAAAAGTAACAGTTCAGATATAGGATAAATAAACTAACAGGGAATTATATATATCTTTCCGTGGTCAATTGATAAACATAAATTCTTCTTACGTTGACCGAAGGTCCACTCCACTGGGTTGCCTGTGGATTGTCCCTTCAAATAAAAGCTCTTGGTTAGAAATATAGTTTTTCTTAGTTTTTTAAACAAGTGCATCAGATGGAATACTGATGTCTAGAAGTAACCAGTATCTCTTAAACTTGACTAACACATGAAAAAACCTCAACCAAAACTACTTGTACCCTCTTCTAACTCATCTAAAGCTTGAAAAGTATCAAAGTTTAATTTTCTCCTCATAAAACGTTAAAAACTTATTCTTGAACCCAGAAAGGCTGAAAAATCGTGCATCGAAAACTAATCAAGCCTTTGGCTACTACATTAGAAAGTATCACTATGTTGAGCGTAACCAAATTGCAACACACCTCTCTACTCTCTCTTCATCTACACCAGAAGTAACAAGAAGTTAGACGTGTGTCCAAACACTCCAAAATTAAGTTCTCCACCCTAGATAAAAATATTTCCACCAGTTTATACCTTTAAGTTCTTCTTTTTGTGAAAAGATTGAAAATGATTCAAATAGGTCGGATATCCGCTCCAAAGTTGTCTCTGAGGTAGACCTTTTGAAAATCTAAATTCAGAAACAAAGGAAAATGAATTAAAGCCCAATTGCTATTTTTTTTTTTTTAAAAAAACATGACATCTTCATCTATAATAGTTACAAGTAAAAGCAATAAAAGATAAAACTAGAACTTACCGATCGATTGTTGGCATAACCATATTTATTCTGAATCTGCACAGATGACAAACCAACCATTATGAGCATAATTATCTTAAGAAAGTATTAAATTACAGAAAGACTTCTCATTTTCACACCTTCAATGAAAAGTCAGTGAGATCTAACAGAAGCAACTTCGCCTCAAAGTAGTGGGCTAAAGCTTTGGCAAGCACTTGTTGATAAAGCTCTGTAAGACATTAAGGGAGAAAGTTTCAATTGACTTGACGGTGACAGTACAAACATCAAACGTATCAATCCATCATTAAGAAACAACATATTCCAACAAACCCGCTGGCCCTGAAAGCATGATAGTCCGGCTTGCAGGAGCAAGATTCCGTGTATGTCTGGAAACCTCCGCATTCTTCAAATGAACATAAGCAGCACTTGTTAGCGTTACCCTTGTCTGCTCCCTGTCATCACGTAAAGAATTGGAATGTAAATAAGAATACAAGAATACATACCAAAGTTCAGGACGAAGGTTTGTAATGAAAAGGAATACCTAAGATAAAAAGGGAATTGATCGAAAGTGACATTGGTTTCTCTGCCATCCACGACCATTCGTAGCATTTCATGTTCGAGGTTCTCCGGAGTAACGCCGTCTGAGGAAGAATTACCATTAACACCCCATTTGGGAAGGCCTTGTCCGGAGGACAACCCAATCCCCACTCCTACACCCACCCCAACGCTCAGCGCCGATAACAAAATGTTTCTTCGATCCATCTCCTTTTCTTCCTTCTACACAATTATCACCCTCGATTATTAATATATCTTATATTTCTATCGTATAATAGAATCAAACAAGCATGATGAACGGTTTCATGCTTTTTTATTTTTTCAATCTGTTTCGAAAAATGTAACCGCAAAACTCAATAGACGAATCCCCGACATGGGGAAAAAGGAGGATGAAGAAGAACCAGAAAGAGGGAAAGTTGTTTTTAAGGAAAAGAGAGTTCGTTTGTGTGGACTGCGAAATGCACGGATCGGGAAAGAGAGGGAAAGTTTGGCTAATGGCAGATACAAGAGTTCCCGCTCTTCTTTCTGTTGCGTGTAACTGTTTTATCGCTTTTTCACACTTTTCTTCCTATTTTCTTTTGCCTCTCTTCTCACTTCTATATTTCAAAATGAAGTTCTCCGCCTCTCTTCTCACTTCTATATTTCAAAATAAAGTACACACTATTTCTGCATTCTTACATTGCTATTGTTAAAATTAGGAATGTTAAATAATCTTTATTTTTGTACCATTTGATTCATATCATAATTTTTAATCGGTGTATGAAAAAGAAATTTCACTAAAATTTTAAAAAATAAAGTAGAAAGACATTGAAAATAATTTTAAATTTAAATATTTGTTTTCTTTTCATAGTGTTTTTTTAATTTTGTCAACTATTTTGACATTTGTAAAATTATAAAATGTTTTGGTTGTTGTTATGAATTTGGTATTCTAATTTTAAACGATTATGTTTATAATATGTTTTCTAAATATTTTATATAGAATAAACTAGAATATGTTATGAATACATGATAATATTATCTTTTCTTTATTTGATTTTTTAATAAAAATTAATCAATTAATAATGAAATAATAAGAAATTGAGTACTTACAAATAATTATTATCCGATGGAAATGAAAATGAAATAAAAATTTTATATCAATTAAATATAAAAGTGGAGATGAGAATAATTTTTTTTCTTAAAATAAATATGATATATTGAAATTAGTATCGTCCGGTCCTCTTACTATACCTGGTTGAAATTAATACATTGATCCAAATTATCTTACTATATATTGATGTATATATTGTTTTTAATTTAATATTTATCTTACAAAAATAAATAGGAAGTTAAAAATTGATAAAAAAAATTAATAAGCAGAACATTTTAAATTGAGTTTGGATTAGAAATAACGTGAAAATGAATTGTTAATAACATCACTTAAATAAGAGTGTTTGTTTTTTTTAAGATGAATTTGAAAGAAAATTAAAGTAAAAGTTATAATAACACAAAATTTTAAGTCATTATTTCTTCCTTCTGCATCCCATTTCTGAGATATATGAAGCACAAAGTAAAAAAACATTGTAATAAAGTTGAGGGAAAAAATAAAAGATTTCATAGTAGTAAGAAAACTAACTGTTGATAATCCAGTATCCATAAGCTAGCAATTGCTAATGGAAGTCAGGTTCTGTGCTTTTTCAGATTAATATACTTCAGTCGTATATGCAAGAGTCGGAGTCTCGAACACAAATATTACATTAAGCTTAAAAGTGTAGTGATTTAGATAAAAATAAAATATAAGTAGAAAGTTGAAGAGAAATAAATAAAATACTTAAAAGAATCTATAAATAATTTAATCGATTTAATAAATTTTAAAGAATTATAAAGTGGTATATTTATAATATGATTAATAAATCTAAAGGTACAGAAATTATAAAATATTCCATAAAAAAAATGAACATTTTTAAAAAATGTGTCAGATAAAAGAGCATTCGAAATGAAAAAAGAAAAAGATTTACCAAAGAACCACGCTAAAATATATACCCCCAAGTTAAGAAAGTACAAACAGAGTAAATTGTCCCATGAGACGCAGACAAGATGGTAAAAAGGCATAAATACATTGTTAGATTAACAGCTCTAAAATACAATGGGTGAGTGGAGAGTGTTGAATGCGACGTAGTCCGTATCAGAAAAACTTACAGACAGTGTAATCCGGTAAAAACAGGGAGTTTATGATCAAACTTAATTATTTGCGACGTTTGGTTAAGAAATCTGGATTGCCTTTCCTCATCATGGCTATAAACTCCTCATAGTTAATTCTTCCATCCTGCATGAAATTAGGGAATGGATGATTCAAATAACTGAAAAGAGAGTATACAAACATCTGAAATTTCACCCTAGGATGAAGAGAGCTGCGTACATTGTCTGTATCAACTTCGGAAATGATTTCCTTTATTGTTTTCTCATCACCCATATTATATTTTTTAAGGGCAGATTCCAACTCTTCCATAGTGATGTACCTAAGAAAACAGAGGCAAGTACATGAAATCAAATTAAAATTTAACAACAAACTAAGATGGTAACATTGGCATGGTAAAATTTATGAATGAAAAAGTATACAAGATCAGGATCCTCTTATCTCATGTTACAAACATGCGAAGGTCGTGTTCCTCTAACGAGGGGCACACACAACCATAGTTAGATACCCAATTTGATTACTGCACGACTCATTAATTTGAATTTTAACATGATCCTGACAACTTAGTAAATAATATGAGATGCTTTTAATCAAAAAGAGAGAGATTACCCGCTTCTATCCTTGTCAAAATATTCAAAAGCTTTATATAAGTGGTCCTCTCTTTCCATTCTATTCATATGCATGGTAGCTGTTATAAATTCAATGTAATCAATGGTCCCATTTCCGTCTACATCAGCCTGAGAACCAAACAATTCATCATTATAGTGGAAGAAAAGTCATCAATCAAATGAAGAAAATGATATACTTATTATCACAATATTAAAAATCCGATCTTAAAGTATAAGTATTTGACTGTCGTTGTTACACCAATATAATCATAAAATTTCAGTGGACAATAAGGGTATTCTGTAACTGCACAGCATATTCATGCACTAACCGTCCTCTTCATCACAATTCACAAGCAAAATCTAGGTTTGGATACAGATAATCATCAAGAGGTGAAATTGCAAAGAACGAGTTTATCCACATATCGGGGGTGTCATCATGCGAGCATAAAAACTGAGAAAAGAAAATGTTTAGCCTAGCTTTTCTCGGGCCTCCCCTCTCCTTAAAAGAAAAGAATAAAACAAACAATCTAAAATGCTCTTAAAAATTAAGTAGCTTAATTTTTTATAGAAGGAACAAAAGTAACTTTTAAGGAAAAGCAGGGTTAAGGAGTTTTAGAAAAAGTTGGTTTCTCTTGTCTCCCTCAACTCGCTTTGTCCTTGGTCATCATCACCTTTATTTGGTTGAAATGGATTTAAGCTAGAAAAAAGGCAAGTAGTATCTTATAATTAAAACTACGTGGATGGCTAATGTTGGTTTTGCTTAAATTTAATCTCAAATATTCATAATGAACAATCAGCATTGTGATGTAAAAGGTAAAAATGTTTTCTCTCTCTCATTCTGTCTCACGCTAAAAAATTAATAATAAAGGGTCTAGAAATACAAGTCTGACTTATAGCAGAGAAGTGCTATGAGAAGACATTCCAGGAGAAATTGCAGAAGTTTATGATCAGAAGTTGTCTTGCATTTGCCTCAGTGAATGAATCAAAATATTGGTAAACTGGTCAGATCTGTTTACTCAATAAAAGATAAAAAGAAAAAGAATAACTGAAATAAAAGATGAAAAGAGGAGCAAAACAGAATTTTTTTTCTCAGGCACTAAACCAATGGAAAAGAAAAGAAAGATTTTAGTGGGTCTGCTAAGGCAACATCATGCTCCTTTAATAACATGAAAAGTAAACACCAAACTAAATTCCAGCAGAAAGCCCAATCCAAAAGACTAGTCCATTAAATGAGAAAATCTCAAAGTTTAAGTATCATATAGAAGTTTATCCTACTTAATGTGGAGCTCATAACAAAGTCTAATAATCCCATTTAATTATTTTAGGTCAAATTTTAGATATAATATGAAATCTTATTTACCCATCAAACACCATTGCCAACCATTGTTGTTATTAGCATCTTATAATTTAATATTTGCACACGTGATTTGATACAATTTTACAAGTCAACAATTCGCATCATGCGATGACTTAGATTTAATACAATTTGACTAATTTTATTCGTATCATGTGATGAATAGATAAATATGAACATTATGATACATGGATGAATTAGTACAATGGTGTATCACAAATATGAATTGCAAGATTCATTGATTCATAGTTTTTCCTTTTTTCTTTAGTTCCACTCTTTCCCCTAAACTGGCAATACCGACAGCCTTTGTGTGGCAATCTATTTTTCCAAATTTAACTTTCTTTTAAAATTAAAATTAAGAAAATTTACAAAATGAAGAAATTAACTGCAGCGAGTAGGCACTAAATAAACAAACATTTACTCCAGCAAGCTAGGGTACAATCAAACAAAAAAAAATCTTACCGCTTCCATTAACTGCTTTACTTCAGACTCGGAAATCTTAGTACCCAGTTTTGGCAGGCCAGTTTTCAACTCTTCAAAAGTGATTATTCCATTGTTATCTGTGTCCATGGATTTAAACATTTCCTTCAAGCCAATGATTTCTTCTTCAGAAAGATTTTCAGCAATAACCTGTAATAAAATAGAAAATTTCAAATATAAATCTTCGGATCAAATTCAGAAATAATTCTTTCTCTCAATTTATTTACTATATTGGCATTTTGATAGATACATACCGTTTTCAGTCCTTGAGGCTTTTGATATAATGGTAACTTTAGATATTCTATTAAAAGTTTGATTAAGAAAATACTGATAAGTACAAGAAAAATAGTGATCAAAGATCGTTTACCTTGAGAGCTACTTTCTTGAGCTTGTTCATTGCCCTGAATTGCTTCATTCTGGTTAAAACAGCAATATCTAGAGGTTTATCAGATGCTCCGTCTTCTCTCATCCAAGGATGATCTGGAGTATATATATATAATATTTTATTATAACTGGTTGACTCAAATAAGCAAATTGCCAAGAAAGTTAAGGCTCAAATGCTCCATAACAGAACAAGAGAAAGCATCAATTTTTCATGCTGCTTGAGCAAGTCAACTAACCAATCATGTGAATAAATTTTTTGAAAAAAAAAAGCGAATGAAGTTGACAATTAAATGTTACAGGTATTGCCAAACAATATTTAAAACCAATGCATGTATTAAAAAAAAAAAAAAAACTTCTGATATAACTTAACACTTTCAATTGGGTGTGATTTTTTTGGTTTCACTTCTTATAATAATTTTTTAAAATATATATACAATATTATAACTCACTGAAACTTTAAAGCTTC